ACGATCATGAGAACAGCGTGGGAAAGACCTGCCCCCATATTCCCACAACATGTGGGAATTCAAGATGAGATTTGGGTGGGGACACAGCCAAACTACATCAAATATGGATATGCCATATTTAAGGCATAAATATGAATTGCCATAATAACGCCAATCTCACACAAAATCTTTCAGAGATGAGAATAAAAGGAAAATAACACCCCCTCCGCGCCTCCCCCCCACTTTTTTGAGGTCAGCATTAACTGATATACCAAAATCTGACACAGACATTACTAGAAAGGAAAGTTAGGGTCAGTGTTTCTCATAGATATCAAATCGGTTTTTGTTGTCGTTGTTGTTTTGTTGTTGTTTGTTTTTGAGACAGAGTCTCGCTCTCTCGTCCAGACTGGAGTGCAGTGGTGCAATCTCAGCTTACTGCAATCCCTGCCTCCCAGGTTCAAGCGATTCTCCTGCCTCAGCCTCCTGAGTAGCTGGGATTACTACCACTACGCCTGGCTAATTTTTTTGTATTTTTAGTAGAGACAGGGTTTCACTATGTTGGCTGGGCTGATTTTGAAATTCTGACCTCAGGTGATCCGCCCGCGTTGGCCTCTCAAAGTGCTAGGATTACAGGCGTGAGCCACCATGCCTGGCCTAGATATCAAATCTTAAACAAATTAGGAAAATAAAGTCCAGTGATACAAAACAAAAATATATCACAAAAATATTGGGTTTATTACAGGAATGTAAAGGTGTTTCGAAGTTCAGAACACAATCAAGATAATTCACTACATTAACAGAAAAAAGAAAAATTAAATGATTTTGATAAAGTCAGAAAAAGAATTAAAATTCTAACATCCAGGAATATTAATGATGATAATAGTAAATGATAAGAAGAAAAACTCAGCAAACTAGGAAGAGAAGGAACGTCCTTTAACCTGAAAGGATGTATCTACAAAAAATCTACAACGAACATCACAGTTAATTATGAAATATCAAAATATTTTCTCCTAAGATCAGGAGTGAGATGAAGACATTAGCTTTGTAAGAAAGGCCCAAGTTAAAGCAATAAGGCAACACAAAGAAAGAATCCGTATATAAAGACAATAGAGGAAGGAATATGCCTCTCATTATGTGCAGACAATGTGATTATATATGTAAATACAAATGAATTCACAAACCATTAGAATTAATAAATGCATTTAGCAATATATAATTAATACATATATTTACTTCACTTCTGGGAGTTAAATGTTACACATGGTCTCTGACTTTCCAGAATCCTGTCATACCCATTGACAGAAAGGAAGCCAGTTCCATGCCAACATCTTCCCCTCTCAAGCCTGGCCTCAGAAGAAAGCACCACCAAGGTTTGGAAAGGCCCTGGTTCCTCCCCTCATTCACCAGCACATTCTTGATTGCCTTGGTGAAAGGAGCCTCCCGCTGACTTCCTTGAGAAACTGCCAAGGGGTGGGTTTTGAGTTTTACGTACAAATCCATCCTAACACTCCCCATTCATGAGCCACCTGACTCTTTCCTCAATCTTAGGCCAAGGAGATTCTGGCATCTCCATCCTATTAATTCTAGCCCATTGCTATGTCCACGGTTCAAGTTGTTCTAACAAAATTTAAGACCTAGTTTCAGGCAGGTGTTCTAGCTTAATTTCACAAACATGCCAGGCTCATGAATCTTCACCAGGTTTATATCCTACACATGTGTCTTTCCAGAGCAAAATATTAAATCCCAAGCCATGGGTGAGTCCTTCCCATGTCAATAAATTCATCTCTACTCATCGTGCTCCAGTATGCTCACCACCCAAGCCTAATATCCTCAGTATTCCCTTTCATACATCTCCCACTTTCTACTGGCACATGTTAGTCTTGCCCTGCAATTCCTTTGGCATATTTTGGCCACTTTTTTTTCTGAAACAGAGGTTGTATTTCCTTGCTCAGGCTATGCTAAGGTCTGACCCTGTATATTGGCCTGAAGTCAATGAGATGTCAAGAGAGTGGAACTTGGGACCTAACATCACATTGCAAGTGACCTCATTTATATCAGGTTTTGTACAATTTCCAGGCAAGGAAAATCTATTCTTCTTCGTCAAGGGGAGGAAGTTTGCTTTTCCTGCCAGAACGACTTGGAGTTAATTTGTAGGAATGAGATTTAGGCTGGTCTTCCCAATGTCTCCAGGCCAGGTCTCAGGGTCTACTATTTTCCCATCAGGGCCTTGACTTTGACATAGGAAACTTGTCAAAGCTATGCATTCAGCCTCTTTTGCAACTCAGCGACACTTATAATCAGGTCATAAGTCTGAAATTTCAACAGAGCATGCCTTCAGGCTGCAGATGACAATACTTTCCTTTAAAGCTGCCACAGAAATCTCTAATTGTACAGTATTCCTTAATCTGGCAGTTAATGACACTAGACTTACTGTTTTTTATATTTTTGCAGGATCTTCAGTACTGCCAAAAAATACCCCATACCACAACTCTCAACATTATTCTTGCCTTTATACCAGTCTAGTGCGGTGCCCACTTGATCTCTCATCTCCTTCCATTTCACCCGCACCTTGCCCAATTAAACAAATGTGAAAGCTTCAGTATTTATCATGTTCTCTGTGCCAGAGGGGTTTTGCCATCACACTTATTCCAGCTTTTTATTGCCTTTAGACAGATAGGAAAACCACTCTCAAAACCCCATGCTGAGAATCTGCTTTCTGGAACCACTCCTTGTACAAATTGTTATAACCTAAGTTCCCTGGAAAACAGAACCAAAGGAAAAAGCAGTCAGCCGATGCTTTGTTTAGGTAGGAGGCACAATTCGGGAGTCTAGAATGAAAGGAAAAGAAAAACAGGGAAAACAAATATTAAGTTTTACACATCGAAGTTGGCTACAGCCTCCAGGAAAGGGCAGCTCTTTTGTTCTCTCACACAGGATGCCTCCAGGCAGAATGCTGGCACCGCTGTGCTGGGAAACAGTCAACAGTGAAGAAGAAAGGAAAATAGATCTACTGCCTCTCTCCATCTTCTTGTCTTTCATCAGTCAAATTTCACCACACAGAATGTTTACTTCACTGCGTTCCAGGATATGGGAGACTGTTGGGACAGCTAATCTCCCGGGGTGGCTCTTTATGAGTCCAGAAGTGATGGGAGAAGCCAGAGCCACTGGTTCCATTTAGGCCAGACTTGGAGGCCAGAACTGCAGTGACTTTCTCTGTGCTGGGGGTCATGGAAAATGCGAGAGCCTGGTCTTCTCTAGACGTGGCTGAGACTGCAAGTATTGTTGATAGTCAGGGTGGCAACAGTTGGGGCTGTCCACCAAGCAAGTGGCCAAGTGCTTGGAAGGTAGGGGTAGCCAAGCAAATCTGGAGAAACGCAAAATCAGGAGGGATTAATACATTTACCATTCAGACAACTGTCTACCGAAAACCTCCACAGGAATAGAGATAGAATTGGCATGGCCAAAACGGAATCCACCATCTGTACCCAAACATATGCCTCCTCCTGTGTTTCTCAGCTAAGTGACTACCACCATCACATACTCATTTACCAAGACACGATGTAAGTGTCATCCATCTCAACCCTCTATCTCCTGTATCTTCTATATCAACTTCATTTCCATATCTAACTTCTGTCTTCCCAATATTGCAATCCACCCCCTCTACAGTGCTACTCCTACCTTAATCCAGTGTGAATTTTTTGCAATAAACAATATAACAATTACAACAGTCTCTTAACTGGTTTCATTTTCTTTGTTCTTACTTCCAGCTACTCCATTCTGCAAATGGAGACACCGTGGAAGTAGGGTAGGGATTAAGAACCCATACTTTGGGCGGAGTGCGGTGGCTCACGCCTGTAATCCCAGCACTTTGAGAGGCTGAGGCAGGCGGATCACGGATGTCAGGAGATCGAGACCATTCTGGCTAACATGGTGAAACCCCGTCTCTACTAAAAACACAAAAAAATTAAAAAATTAAAAAATTAAAATTAAAATACAAAAATTAGCCGGGCGTGGTGGCGGGTGTCTGTAGTCCCAGCTACTTGGGAGGCTGAAGCAGGAGAATGGTGTGAACCCGGGAGGCGGAACTTGCAGTGAGCTGAGATCTTGCCACTGCACTACAGCCTGGGTGACAGAGCATTTGGAGTCAGACCGCATTAAGTTTGGATCTAGCTCCTTTACTTTTTGTCTGGGTGAACTTGAGCAAGTTAACCTTTCTTTGCTTCAATTTCCTGTTGCCTTTAGGATTCCGTCCTGGGCATCTTAAAAGGATCTCCAAAGGAAGGGAACATGATCCATGACTACATCCAGTTGTGAGATGACCGAGGAGCAAAGAATTTTAGGGAAAAAGTCTGCTTTACATTGTTTTAACTTTGCTGTTTCCATGATGAGAAGATGTTAGTCCCAGCCTTGTCTTGTGAAAGTTTAAAGGAAACCAATCACACAGGCATTGCCTCTGCTGTAAAAAGTGCTGCACTTTCTCAGCCTGTTTCAGGTGATTAATATGATCCTCCACTTCTGAGAGACACGTTCTGTCTAGGGCCTAGACATTACCGACACAGACCACTGGGGGAAAAAATGACGAATTCAGGCAAATCTAAATGCTCACATTAACCTCTGATGCTGTCATTTGTGCTCTAAGTGCCTGGCTCAGGAGGTGAACAAACAGCAAGAACAGATGAAGGGTACTTTCAAAATTGAAGTCACTTTAGACTGCATTTTATTTAAGATTTTTGTGGGAGAAAAGCCATTTTAAAAAGGCATATGTAGAAGCTGGGTAACTGCCTGGTCTTAACGAATGTGACAAAGAGAATGGCCGGCACCAAGACTGTGTTAGGGAATGGCATGATTTAGGATCAGACACTGACAAAGATGAAGGACTCCTAGATGTCATGTAGACCAAAAGCTTCATTTTATAGAAGAAATTGGCCCTGAGAACAAGAAAGCCAATGGTTCCCAGTTTAGCCATTTCTATTTACCTTGTGTATTAATCTCCTAAGTCTGCCATAACAAATGACTGCAACTGTGGTGGTTTAAGACCACAGAAACTTATTCTCACACAGTTCTGGAACACAGAAGTCTGAAATCCAAGGTTAAGCAGGGCCACACGTTTTCTGGTCTTTAGGGAAGAACTCTGCTTTCAGCTTCTGGTGTTCCCAGGCCTTCCTTAACTTGTGGCTGCATCACTCCAGCCTCTGCCTTTATCGTCACATGGCCTTCCCTCCTGTCTATTTCTCTGTGTCCTCCACTAATCTTTTAAGAACACCAGTCACTGGATTTGGGGCTCACCCTAAATCCTGGATGACTTCATCTTAAAGCCTATCTGCAAATACCCTATTTCCAATTAAATCACACTCTAAGGTTTCAGGTGGACATAAATTTGGGCGTACACTGTTCAATCCTCTAAAAACCCCATGGCTCCTCTTTAACGCAAAGCGGTCATTCCTGGGTCTAAGGGAGCAGGTATGGATTCTGCACCTCTCCCAATGCCTTAGACCATCATTTGCGCGTTGATGTTAAGAGTCATACTGCCTGGATTCAAAGCACGTTGACCCTCCATAAATAAATCCTTTCAAAGCTTCAGTTTTCTCAGTTACAAAATGGAGAAAATACAGCCGTCCACATGGGAGCCTCATCAGGTTGCAGTGAGAACAAGGTGGGATAATCCACGTGGACCGCTTAGCCCAGCCTGTGACCCATGACTACGGCTCAATAAATATCAGCTGCTACCAATCAAAGCCAGCGCTGATGCTTTGGAAGAGTTTGCGTATCACACAAAATAAAATCCAATCATCCTCCAGGCTACGTGGGAAGCACCAAATGGCATCTAGGTAATTATTCCCACCCACCCATCATGGGAAAAGCCCTGACCTCCATACCAACACTTTCAGCGGGGCTTCCTTTGTAGGCTTCTACCTGAGCTGTCTGGCGATTGGCAATTTTTCAGATTTGAGCCAGATTCACATTTGGAGATTAAGCTCCAGTATCTAGACTGAGCAGAGAGGAATATAATGGACAAAAGTGTCCAAGATAAACAACTCTAGAACCTGAGCTCGAAAAGCTGGTAGCTTTCAGGAAACTCTCCAAGTCTCTGAACTGAGTGACTGGGTCTTGCCTGAAATACTAGCCGGGAAGGAAGCTGGGGCTGGGACCAGGCAGACAGAGGAAGCTGAGGGTGGACCCCGACAGTGGCAGCTTGAAGTCCAGTTGCAACATCTTAAGGAAAAGCATGAGACTCTGGAAAGCAGAGGTAAGGTGAGGAGGTATCTACTGAATCATGCAGTGGGGGAGATACCTGCTCTAGGGGACACTGTGGGGTACTGCCTAGATCCCCCTTCACAGCTGAAACACTCATTCCCCAAGCCCTTGGGGAATCAGCTCTCGGGGAATCAGCTCTCAGGGAATCTGCTTAAGCTAAGGAGAGCCACCCAACCCAAGTTCACACATCCTCCCTGGAAGTAGCTCACATCCAATGTCTGGTCCATGGGGGAAAAGCATAAAGGCTTGGCCATAGGCAGGATAATCCTGAGGACTCATCTCATCTCCAGAGCTCTTATAGCTTCAGGTGAGGTTTCCGCTGTCACTGCATAATGAGCCTTAATTTTCCCCTCCCCTTGCAGGTGTCAATATTGAGAACAGCTCAATAAAACTCTTACATGCAAATTGCCATCTCATCATGTTTGCCAGAAAACCCATCCCAGACACCTACATTCACAAAATCCCTGAAAGATGCTGTTCTATCAATCTCATTTTCCTGATGAGAAAATTGAGCCTCGGAGATCAAGCAATGTCCCCAGAGACATACAGCTGGTAAGTGGCAGAGTCGGATTTTGAACTCAAGTATGTGCAGCCCCAAAGTCCATGGTCCTTTCACTGTAATCTCTGCCTTCATTGAGTCAGCCACTAATAATAAAGCAGAAATTAAACATTCTCAGGATGAGAAAATAGGAAGGCAACCACGGTGTTATATGGGTGAGAGTCCCTTTATGCGCCCCCTGCCTTGCTTAAAGCCCTGTGATTATAGCTGTGGTTATTTTTCTTGTTATCTCATTCAGCGCCGGTTACTAAATGTTTGTTTTCTTTTATTAGCCCACTGTATGCTTAGGACCAGGCTTCAGTTTCCTAGTTGTGTTTGCCTAACTCCTTATAAGCTTGAGCCATCTGTTCCTCTCGAAGTGGACTGGACGACATATTTTTCCCCAGAGATTTCCCTACTTTGTATTTCATAAGGGAAGCCAAACTAGGTGATTCATTGTCCTTCTCCTCCTCTTCCTCCTCCTCCTCCTCATCATCAGTAGGAAAACACTGAGAAGCAGCCTTAAGGAACAACATAGTGGCAATATCCAGGCCCTTGGATTTATGTCACGTGCTATCAGCAACCAATATATGATGTTTGGATTGAGAACTATGATCAAAGTGAAGCAGTGGAACTTTGCAGTTAATTGAACGGGATTTTTGAGCCAAAAACCCGCAAATGTGTTACAGCACACTCAAGCTACATAATCTTGGGTGAGGGTGAGTTGCTAAACTGCTATGTGCAATTTTCTCACCTGTCAAAAGGGGCTAATATTAGACTTACTATTTTGTGTGTGAGGATTTGCTGATCTATATATAAAGGTTTTAGCACAGTGTTATAAATATAGCAAATACATACTTAAAGTTATCTGTTAATGCATGAAAATTAGAGGTGAACGAAGTTGGGCCCTTCATTTACAAAACATTCTATGATGTTTAGAGCAATTCAACTGGGGATAAGCTGAGTTCCAGAGGAAGACAGGTGTAAGAGAGCTTCTGACATGAGCATTGCAGACAGGTAAGATAATCACTAGCATCCATTCCTTGTGGATATTATTATATTCCTTCAAAGGCTCTGACATAGTTAGATTTCTTGAGATCTCTTCTCAGAGAGACAAGAACTTTGTTGTTTAAAATGATCCAACGAGATCAGCTTAAAAACAGCACCTGTAGTTTTGTGGTATCCGAAACTCTGAATCTGAACAGATCATTTATCAGGGAAGTCTAGAAAGATGGTTCATTTTGAAGTTTAAGGAGAAAGTATTGAATTGGCCTCTGATATGGGTGACTGGCTGCTCAACTCAACAGGACTGGCTGTGTAAACATATAACATGCTTTCAGAATGTTTGTCCAGGGTGGGATAAAAGGGTAACTAATAAAGGGTAATTAATCCATCAATTCCTGTCCCCCAGTGGTCAAATTTTTACCCTAAAAGTTGGCAGCTCCTTGCACTTCCAGGCTGCATATCTATGGGCACATTGTGACGTGGAGAGAGAAGTCTTGGGTCTGGACACATACAAAAAATGTATAAATAAATCCTGCAAATTATTAAGCAAACATCAAACAACACTGCAGAAAATTGGGCTAAATACTTGAATAGGCATTTCACAAAAGGAGACATTTAAATGGCCAGTAATCATAAGAAACAGTGTTCATCGTTGTTTGTCATCATGAAAATGAAAATTAAATCACAAAGAGATAGGACTATACAACCGTCAGAATGCCAAAATTCATAAGTTGGGGTGGATGGATGTAGGGCAACTGAAACTCTCCTATACTGGTGATGGTGAGTGTAAAATGGCAAAATCTTTTTGGAAAACTGTTTGGCCTTATATTCTAAAGCTGAACATTACTGCCTATTCTATTACCCAGAAATTATATTTCTAAGTATGCATCCAAGAGAAATGCACATATAATTCACCAAAAAACACATACAACAGTGTTTGTGGGAGGATTACAGGAATTGTCCTAAACCAGGTTTCTCGACCACAGCACTATCGACATATTGGATTGAATAATTTTTGTTGTGGGGGATTTCCTGTGCTTTATAGAATGACTGGCATCATTGCTGGCCTCTATTCACTAGATTCCAGCAGCCTCCCCCAGTCATTACAACCAAACATGTTTCCAGACATTGCCACATATCCCCTGGGGGCAGAAAAATCACCCCCAGTTGAAAACCACTGTTCTAAATGGAAAAGAATCCAAAACATCTCTCAACAGTAGTATGAAAAAATAATGGGAAGCATGTTCATTCATAATAATATTATAGAGCAGTGAAAATAAATACATTAACATTGTACTTCCCAACATGTACAAAAGAAGCCAAACACAGTAGGGCTCACACTACAACATTCTCACACATAAAGTTCAAAAGCAAGTACAACTGACTTCTGGCTGTAGGAGTCAGAATGGTAGCAAACTTTTGGGGGAATGGTAGCTTGAAAGAGGCATGAGAGAGGCTTCAAGGATGTCAATCATGTTCTTGATCATGGTATTATATTCAAAATACCAATTGTAAAAGCTTTAGAGCAATAGATTTACAGTTTGTGAACTTTTCTGCATATATATATTACATTTCAATCAAGTGTTTCCCCAAAACAAGGCTGGACATGGTGGCTCACGCCTGTAATCCCAGCACCTTGGGAGGCCACCACGGGCAGATCACTTGACACCAGGAGTTCGAGACCAGCCTGGCCAAGATGGTGAAACCTCATCTCTACTAAAAATACAAAAATTAGCAGGGCGTGGTGGCATGTGCCTGTAATCCCAGCTACTTGGGAGGCTGAGGCATCAGAATCTCTTGAACCTGGGACGTGGAAGTTGTAATGAGCCGAGATCTCGCCACTGCACTCCAGCCTGGGCAACAGAGAGACTCTGTCTCAAAAAAAAAAAAAATTTCCCCGAAACAGATGTTTTGTATACTTTTATTAGTTTTCTACTAGGAAGTTTTATATAGAGATCATCTCTGATACATTGCCAAAAATGGAAAGTTTACAGATACCTGTTTTATATTGAAATATGTTACTTTTTCCACTTTCCAAAATAGCATCATGCTCCTTTCACTGAGTATGATCTCAGTCTCAGTCTCCTTTGCTCCTGATCAGCAGACAACCTAAATACACTATCACAGTGATCTCGGATATCATCCTCTTACTGTGGCCCCTCCCTAGAGTTTTCTCTTCTGAACAGTATCACAGGGCTTATATTTTTCAAGTTAAAATGTGTTTTTTGAGAATGTCACACACTGTTTCAGATAATTAGTACCTTCCTGGGTCTGCATTACTGCTCTAAAATAACCAATACATTCTATCTCCATTAAAGCTGGCAATGGTTCAGTTGCATTTGATATTCTAGGGCCCAACTTTGTATAATTCTGTGTACTTAGGACATAATCCCCATATTTTGACCTTTCTACATGTAGTTAGCTACATCCTGTATGATTTCCGTCCTGTTAGACTTGTCTTTTCAAAAACATATTCTTCACAAAGCATTGTTCTTAAAAATTAAGAACTATTCAAGCTGTTCTTTCAGTTCTGAAAGTCCTCTGTAATATTTTGCTTTAGAGAAGCATCATATTCATTCATCAGGGTTCACTGAATTCGTCAAGAAAGAGTTCATTTATCAGTTAAAAGAGGAATGGAACACAAGGGGTATAAATTAGGATTACCTATAAGGGGGCGAGGGAGAGAGAAGGCAGTAAAATTGATGGGAAAGGTCACGTGGGAGTTTCAAGCCTTCTCCACAAATGTGTTGACATTGCTCTCATCAAAAGGTAGTGGCTATCTCTTCTCATCTTGAATCTGGGCTGATCTTAGTGACTAACTCATATCAATAAAATGCAGTGTAAGTGACTTCCAAGGTTGTGTGACTTTCAGTGCCAGGACCAAAAAAGCCCTGCAGTTTCCTCCTGGTTCTCTTGAGATGCTTGCTGGGGAACACCAGCCACCATGGATGATGTCTGGCTGTGCGGAGAACACCAGGCTGAAGAGGCAGCAGTTCTGTTGACAGTCCCAGCTGAGTTCCATCCATCCTACAGACAGCATCAGCTGTCAGCCATGTGAGAGCGCCATCTTGGATGGCCATCCCAGTCAAGCCCTCAAATGACTGTAGTCGACATCTGACTACAATTACACAAGAAACTTTAAGCAAGAACAGCCTCACCTAACTTTTCCAGAATTATTGACTTACGAAATCATAAGGAAAATAGAATAGTTATTTTAGGCTTCTACTTTGGGGGATAATTTGTTATCCAGTGATTCCAAGAACAGAACAATCATGAGTTTCTTCTAACGACACTAGTTCAGCCTAGTTGGACTCAACAAGCCTATATTGAATTCTTACTATGTGTCATGCACTATGGCGGGATTGGAGATACCAAGATGGTAAAGTCACAGTCTCTTCCTGGTGGGATAGTGAGCCATGTCAGGAACAACTACAGTATCATGCCATAACAGGTGTAGTAAGAGAAACAGACCTGTACAAATGAGATGGTGATTAGCTGTTTCTTAGAGGCCTCAATGTGCAGCGGCTTTGGAGTTGTTCAGCCCAGATTCGGATTCCAGCATTAATACTACTTAATGCTACGATCTTGCACGTGTTACCTAATTGTCTGAGCCTAATATTTCCTTCCCCTGGGAAAGGGTTTCCTTGGTGTAACACTCACTCTTTCCCAAAACAGGAAAAGTCCCTTCATTTAATTGGCAAGTTGGGGACATAAGGAAGGTGTTTGCGCCAGCCTCTCCCTCTTTCCTTTTTCTTTGAGTTCTGACTGTTTGTAGGAGCCAGGAATTTTCACTACTGCCTGCCACATGGTGACAGAGGCCTCCCACTTTTGATTTAGGGGTGGGAACTGCAGTGGACCAGCACGGTTTGTAAAGGCGAAAGTTGGTGTAACCATTATTAGAAGGCCACAGGTTTATGCTGTATTATAAATAATAGCTTCACAAAACTGGTATGTGTTTCCCATAGACCCTTTTTTCCCCTCTCAATTAGTTTAATTAGTTCTCAGCTAGACAGGAGAGAAAATACTGTGTTCAGTATCCATCATGCTGGGCCAGAAATCTGAGAATGAGACTGAAATACCACATGGTGGGTCTTTACTTTAGGCCAGGATACAGGAATTTAGACTTCAGTAAGCACGTAGCTTTGACCTTGACAACCTAGAGAGGCTCCCTTGAGCTGCACAGCTCTTGCTTACAACTCGGTATTTATTTAGCTTTCAGCTGACCTTACCAAGGTAGTAGCTTTAGGCTTCAGGCACAGTCATATGGGATTTTTCACCTTGGTGGTTCACATCAGCTTATGGCAACTTTGTCCACAGTGAGCTGCTGTCTCTATAGAGACAGAGCTGCAAGCACGAGAGCTTTGGAAAAACAGTACAAATGCCTCAGGAAAAACACCGTGTGCTGTGGGGTGTTGGTCGCCACAGCTTGACCTTAAACTAGAAGGTATGATTTTTCTAAGCAGTTGTAGCTGAGGTAAGGATTCCATTTTAGGATAAACAGAACCGTTCCATACTCAGCCTGTTAAGGCATTGGTGGGCAAAAAATCATAATCATTGTTTTTCAGATTTTGAAGCA